GTATACTTCTTTCCTAACTCTTGATCTACCTTGAGATCGTGAAGGTCCGGATGATACCTCATCCTCGACACTCGCTCCTCTATGATCACCCGATTTAGTTCTCTCTATAGCGACCTATACGAAACATAACTTAAGTTTAACATATTTCAAGAAGGTAGAATAATCGGTGTATAATTCATATAATGTTTTTTCTCTTTCAAGTTATGTATTACATTAAGCTAATCAAGAATGAGGTAATGATTTTTGGTTTATAGGAAGAATGGCAATCCGAGTGGGCGAACTTAAGCCAAAGTGCATACAAGCCCAAACACATGAAGGACTTAAAGGAGACAACATGCAAAGCTAAATTTAAGAAATGAGGCATATAATCGTGTGTCTTATAAGAGGAAAAAACTATTAGCCATGTGAAACAAAGAAGAAAATTGTATGGTTTTTAACACAAAGAGACACACGAGACAAAAGGAATAGACATGGTTTGTGTAACAAATTGACATACTCGCACATTTATTTAGCACAAGAAAACACACGGGCGGTAGGGGTAAGTATGGCTTATGTAAAAAATTTGACACGTCCGTGTGTCACTATAGAGTTGTCATTTGATGAAGGAAGAAAAGCCACATAGACAAAAACTAAAGGACACGAGATGAAAAGCAATCATCACACGGTCATGCGTAACTATAGAGTTGTCATTCCCGAAAAAGAAAACCATACGTACGAAGCTAAATGACACAAGATGAAGAGTAAATATGACATGATCGTGTGTGACAATCAAACAAACCATGTAAGACGATCGCGTGTGATAAAACCCTACTTTTTACATGTAACGTAAGATTGTAAATAAAGAAGTTAAGGTGTACACTAGTTGATTGATCCATGTAATTCGAAGCAATGATATGGACTAGCATAGAACCTATATTCTATAGTTATGCTAGACTCTAAAACCTATATTCGATACCAACTTTGTCACGACCTTCGTAGTGTGCCATGACCGGCACGAGAATCGAAAGAACAATAAGGCCTACCTTAACTTAAGCAAGCCTCGAATATCTAATTATAATCTTCGACTTCGTATTATATCAAATATCATTTCTAGTTTAACACCATAATCATCATTCTAACTAACTAATATCACAATGCTTAACACAAATCTATAATTAAATTCTAATACAACTCCCACAAGATATAACTATAGAACTTGTAAAAGATACAATAAATCAAACACAAGTTGTAGGAGATTACAAGTAAATAAGTTGTACGATCAATATACCGACTTCAAGGCAATAATTTTGTAGAAGTAAAAGACAATCTCATAACCTTACAAAACTAAAATGGTGAAGTGTGAGTAAATCAATAGCTCAATGAGTAGATACTATATAACATATCTAAGAAAAGAAAATAAACTAAGGATGATAATTTAAAATTTTATTCAAGATGCAATCCTTATTTCTCTAAATCGAATGTATATCATAAATATCGAATCTTATATCGTATCTTAAATGGTTCAAAAACCAAATCTCATTAAATCATCAAAATCTATATATATCATAATCAAATCAAATCAAATATCTAAATTTACACTTAGGGTGAAACAAACGTAACGTATCATTGGATGCGAATACCCAAAAGCTATACCTCTTGTAGCTAGATTTTCGTATGTTGGTTAACACACGGACTAACATTTCACCTTTCCTGCTAGCTGGAGCATTGTGTATCAATGAGCTTACAAGCTACGTCCTCCGTAGCAAGGTACTCCAAGGTAACCAATGAAATAAAAAATCACATAAGCTTATACATATCTCAAAAATATACAAATCTAACATATCAAATACAATTCATGCTTAAAATCAGATTTGAAAATGCAATTCAATATCGAATAAACACTTACAAACTTATATGAATAATCAAAATAACAATCTAAAGTAAATTAATAATTAAATACATGATTCTAGATAGGTCTTGACTATATTTCATCATCAATACCTAATTCAATCTATTCACATATCCTACCTATATAAATCCATCATTTTTCTTTAACATTCAAAACAATTTAATCCCTATCATTAAATTAATCCATAATAAATCCTCCACTCCAATCAATACACTCATAATTAAATCCTTTACTCAACAATTAACTAATAAATCCCAAAATTCAGATTTTACTATTCATCATCTTCAACCTTTCAAAATTAATCCAATTTACTCAATTCAACTTCATAAATCGCTAACCCAAAGCAATTAAACATCATTTAATTAATTAGAACTACTTAATCAACTTTTTTTTTTCTCAAATGGGTTTCAAAACCTTAACATTAATCTATGTCAATTCTTCATTCTAACAACAACCCAATACAAATCAACTTCAAAATTATTAATAAACACATATAAATATCTCCATTTAAAGACCAAATGATCAAATTTCTTCAACCTCTAATTTCAATCCTAAACTCTTCAGGCCTTCTAAGTTTTAATTTAACTAAACTTCACTTTAATCAACTTATTCATGATTTTTCTCAGTTAATTTAACAAGATTTTAACTTAGAAATTGAAGGAAGGAAATGAGAGGAAATTAGAGAGAGTTGCGTGAGAGAGAGAGGAAAAAATAAGGGACAACAGCTGTCCCGTTTTTTTTCTTTTATATATTGCCTTATTTTTTTTAACTTAAATTACTAACTTAAATATATCATATTGACTACTTGTTTCATCAACTTAATCACGTATTTTTAATAATTTAACTGTGACATCATACATTATGAATAGCAACAATATTTAAAAGAGACTGCGATATTGGAGAATTTGCCCTTCTTTTTTACCGGAAGGAAACCAGATGATGTACAAGTTACTCGTGCTCTATGTAAACGTGCAATGGACAGACCGTCCTGGCCCTTGTAACGGCACTTGCAGTGTGTAAAACTTGGCAGGAGATGCCAAAATGATCGGACATGTAACATGTGGCAGAGGAATGAATAATTCTCAGACAGGCTGACAAGGGCCTCTGTTTGTCCCTCTTAACAAGTGCAGTTCAATGCCTCTAGATCTCAAAAATTTTAGTTTGTGATGTGCCCACATTGCCACCTGGAATATACATCTAACCCCAACAATTTCAACATCTTGCCACTGTAAGGTGGGGATCCAATCCCAAACAGTCCAACTTTTACCACTCTCAAAGTATCAATCCTAGTCCTAGACCAATTCTCGCGCCAGTCCAACAATGTTTTATGTCCCCATATAGGAGGATAAGACGGAGCTCTTAATTTTGAGCAAATTATTCTTTAGTCCCTTGTTTTAAACAAAATTATAACTCAGTCTCTTAGTGTTGAAAAAATTATAACTCAATTACTTCACTTTTGTCAGCCCTCGTTTTACTAAAACATCTATTCTTTTTTTTTTCCTCGCAATATCAAATGTTTCCTTTGACAGTTTAAGTTCTTAAAGAGAAACCAACACTGTGGGGAATTCCGGAATTGGGAGAAAAACTAAAATGTTCTACGATCAACAAAAACTAATGGACTAGATTATAGTTTTCTGAACTTGAAAGAATATGTTATAACTGCATACAAAACCATGACCTAAAAAATAATTTACTACTTAATTAATTTCCCCTCTTCTTTATGTATTGCTAACTTAATGCTATTTTATTGAGGATGAATGTTGATGGGAAATAATTTGTCGGTGTGGGACAAGTGTTCCTGGAAGGACTGTGGTTGGATTTTTGTTGATTTTTAGGGACACGCAACGCTTTTGCCTTTATCAAAAATAAAATTTACATACTTTGGATCTACTGGCATTAGATTAGGCAGTCATATCGATGTGTCGTTAAATTGCTGAACCAAAACCAGCATCAATATAATGCAAAACATGATGGTTACGTCAAAAAATGAAGCTGGGATAGCAATCATGCCTAGCAATTCCAAATATTGAAAGGCATAATTCAATTATTTTTTCCAATGGACCCTACCTAGCATGCCACATAAATTGGTTAGCCTCTCAATTATCACCCCCTTGTGTCTCCAACAATTAGACAGTAATTTCAAAACTGCATTTTTTTCAACATACTATTTGCTTGGAAGAAAAATATGGAAATGATCTAATTAAGAAAAGAAATGAGTTCTGATGGTTGGTAAGACTATCTAAATATGCAAGGCAAGACCTTTTCATTGTAGCAAAACGTGGTTAAACTCTTCTTACCGGAAGAGAAATATTTAACAAGTAGATTACAAGGTTGGATATTATAAGTTTATCTTAATTAAACCACTTCAGTTCCTCTGTCAACCAATCCAGCTACTAGGTCAATCCCTTGCATTATTTCCCAATAAACAATAACAATAAAAATCTATGATAATGAGATGGCTGCCACCAAGTTTTTTTTTATTTTTTTATGATAATAATTCGTTGTTACCTAAAAGAGTGTGTGTATATATATATATATGTATGTATGTATGTATGTATGTATGTATGTATGTATAGGCTTGTATTGTGAGTATACAATTATATATGTATTGTACTCCATAGAGAAGTTTCTACTGTATAGAAGACGAAGGTCTCACTCCCTCTCATTTGGGCTAATAGGCAATTCTTAAAGTAAAAGTGTCATTGCCTCATTGGAAACCATCCTATAGAGGCATTCTTTTGTAGCCTTTCGGTGCTTAAATTCTTCTACTTTCATCCTCTTTATTATTCTTTGGCATGATCAATTGTTTTACTGCTGCTTCAATATTGCTCCACACATATATAATCAATTGACCAATCCTCTGCTGTTGGAACAAGATGCTCTCAGTTTAGACAAAAAGCAAAAGCTAAAGCTGTTATTTCTGACTTTGAATTCCCATAATTCCTTCCCTCTCTTTCTCTTTTGCTTTTTCTTGACTCCAAATCTATCGCATTTATTGCTTGTTGTGTTTTTTTTTTTTTTTTTTGAAACTTTTGCCCGCTTTCAAGAATTAGGAAGCTAGACTCACAAAAGCTCTTGCTACCTCAGAAAGAAGAAGTGAATTGTTCCTAATATGGCTATAGATGTCTGCTCAGAGATTTCAAGCGCAGGAGTTAGTCCAAGAATCTCCTTCTCCCATGATCTCAACCAAGCAACAGACACTGTTTCCATTAAAGATCATCAACATTGCAGATTAGACTCATCTCTGTTGGATTCTGATTTCGATTTCTGCTTTGGCAACAGCTTTGTTCAAGACTTGTCTTCTGCTGATGAGCTCTTCTCTAATGGCAAGATCCTGCCTGTTGAAATCAAGAAACATTTGATGATTTCCTCTAAAGATAATGATCAGCCAAAGTCTTTGACCTCTCAACCTCAACATCAGGCCATTACGGAGACTACAGAGAAGAAGCAACTGAAAGAATTCTTGTCAATGAGTCTTGATGCCGATGAAAAACCTGCATCGAAATCTTTTTGGCAGTTCAAGAGAAGCAATAGTCTGAATTGTGATAGCACCAGAAGCAAAGGCCTAATTCGATCGCTACACTTTCTTTCAAGAAGTAACTCTACTGGGTCGGCTCCAAATCCTCCAAAACAAGCAATGTTATCCAAGGAGACTCAAAAGCCTAAATTGCAGAAACAAGCTTCTGTTCCAAGTCGAAAATCAGCGGCACCTAGTTCCGCTGCATTTTATTCTTACAATTCACAGCAGAAGCCTCCTCTATTAAGGAAGTGTGGTTCTTATGGGAATGGAGTCAGAATTAGTCCTATCCTGAATATACCACCACCTTACATTTCCAGAGGAACTGTCAATCTTTTTGGCTTTGGTTCACTGTTTTGTAACGGTAAGGTTAAAAAGAAGAAGAGGTAACTATTTGTTATTTTTAGTTACGTTGGTGACTGAATCTTTCCAAGCACAGGTGTATTTAGCTGTCTATCGTTTGGTTTTCATGGATTAGCATGTAATTAATTATAGCCTGTAAAATTGAAAGAAAGTTCTAGTCAAGAAATGATTAGATCTTAAGAAGAAACGCAACTACCACATGGGTTAATTACTTTCGGAAAGTGAAAACTACAGTACTATAGAGGAGTTGTAATAGTGGATTTGGATGATGGTGACTGTTCTTGATGCCTAGCTATCCATATGGCAATGGCTTTGGGGAATAGATGAACAAGGTATTCCTCTCTTTCACTGCTATCCCTATCCATATTTTTCTTTCTTCTTTCTTCTTTTTTTTTTTTCAATAGTTTATTTAATTGTGGCTCTCCTTTGTTCCTTTGAACTTGATTCGAGGCCTCCTTTGGCCTTTTCTTATGTGCATAAAAAATATAGTAGAAGATGCTTCAATTTGACCATACTGTTACTGGGTCCGTTACTTCCTGGTCTTTTTGTTCTGTATGTGTTGATGCAAACAAAACAGTTGATGCAAGGAAGTGGTTTCAGGAATTAAAAATGAATGATTAAGAGGTCCCTCTAAAGCTTTTTTGACCCAAATAATGCATTAATACTTTCTCTTTGTTTGTTCTGGCTTAGCTTTCTTAACTTCCTTTAACCATGTCCCACTCTTGGTTCTGCAGCAACTGATTCGATATGGGGTATCTTATATTCTTAATTCTTGTTAATATTTTTCCATCTACCAACTAGGGAAATTATCAAAGCCACTTAATCTGATCAATGATATCTAAAACCACCATTATCTAAATATGTCAAAAGGATTTAGTAAGTATTTTTAAAACAACCCCAACAACTGTTATTTCATTATAGTGAACATTTCAGCTTTTATTTTCAAATCATCCTCCTCTTGTACATCTGTTACTTTCTCCTCTTCTAATACAGAAATTCTGTAAATTTTTCCGTCCGTCCATGGACTTGGCTTCCACTATCGTTTTCAGAGAGTTTGAAAATGAAAATCTAGCTGCCAATGCAGTTGGATATTGCTCATTCCAGCTGCTAATGTTATCTAGCTTTAGCACACCCGGACTGGAAGATCAAGTGTGCTCTCCGAAATACTTGGAGATCCAAAGCTATACACCAGCATTCTATTTTCTCGTTTTCCTCTTTAGTTGCTTAACATTAGTGTTTTTATGGCATCTCCATATAACGTTAGTAACTGGCTCCTCTAAGATTCGACCTGGAACTGGACGAAATTTATTCTCATACGAGAAAACTAATTTAGACATTTCTCCTTGCAGTTGCATCATAACCCACCCCCCAATTAAGGAATAATTAATCTAGTAGTATATTAACTTTATAATTTCAATTGAGTATATAAATTTTATTTTTTTCTTTTGAATACATTAATTTTTTATTCTCATTCACTTTTTGTGAGTTGCTCTTTACATATAAAGTATTCTTTGACTTTAATTTATTATTTCTACACCAACTTTTATTTTATCTCAATCTAGTATATAGACTTTATTTTTTTTTTTGGACCCTTAAATATTTTTTGTTGTGCTAGTAAGTACTTTCGTCAATTTTTTATTTTCTAATGTGTTTTTTACTTTAGTGAAAGCACCTTTCAAATAGTATTACATTTATTGAATGAAAGTATTTTAAATTAAAATAAATTATTTTAAAAGTAAAACCTTTTTAATTAATGACAAGCCATGTACATTCTACATGGATGTTAAAAATTAATTAGAACTAATAAATAATATATTAATAAAAATTTTAAAAATTCATTATTTTAGCACAAAAAATGGATATCATGTGATTGCAAAATATATAAAAAAAATTAATAGAATTTTTTTATAGAATTACTTGATTGGTACGATAAAAAAATTTTGTGTATTAAAATTATGTACTTAATTGAGAAAAATTTAAATTTAGTGCACCAACATTGCAATTTTTTTTATATAGTGAAGGTCAAAAGACTCACAAGTGAAGAACTTAACGATTAGAGGAAAATGAATGGAAGTATTAGAAAAAAAATTTCAAAATGCTGATGTGCTAAAAAAAATAAAAAATCTACATAATTGAAAAAAAAAAAAAGTATAAAATTGGTGTGTGTATACATATAAGAGCATTTTGGGACCAAATTTTACTCAAAATAGATAGATGGGATTAGGGATGGCAATTTGCCCCGCCCCAACGAAGCCTCGCCTAGCCCCGCATCAATTTTCCTCGATCAACGTAGGGATTCCTCTCATTGATCGGAGAACGGGGCGGGGCGGGACGCCTCGCGAGCGGGGACGGGGCGGGGATGGAATTTGCCTATCTCGTCCTGTTTGCCCCATTTTTTTTTCATTAAAATTATAATTATACCCCATATAAAATCTATAATTAATGACTTTTATGATTTATGTTTTATATAAATTATCATTTTTTTATTATAATTTAAAATTTGATAGTAGAATTGGATAAAATGAGATAAAAAAAATTTACCCTATTTGCTCGACGAGGATCTCCATTTTCGTTTGAGACGAGGATGGTACAGAAAATTTTACTCCATTTGAAGCATGGGGCAGGAATGGGAAAAATTTTCAAGGACAAAGCGGGGACGAAGATCGCCCCCCCCCCCCAATTGCCATCCCTAGATGGGATGATGGGAGGAGAGGACAATCGATGGGCCTCTCAGGTTTCATCAAGAGCAAAAATCTAACCCAAGGGCCCATTATATAGCCTAACATAGTTAGAAAGGCCCAGCAGCAATAGAAGCTAACCATCTTTGAATTGGACTTTTCAAGATAAGAATTCGTTTCAGGATTTCCGTTTTACATTTCTGGTCTGACCTTTCGACTCCATTTCCCTAGCACCTTGTAGAGATGCATAATCTTCCTTCCTGAAACGGAAAGCACACTGAAAATATTCTCACCTAAAAGCAGCCCAACCCAAGCTTAATCATGAGTTTGCGAAATGGATATGGTGATTTCATGATCTGACCTCATGAGGATTAGGTCGAATTATGCAAGCGCGGCTAAAGTCAGAAATCTCCCATGCAAATAATAGCCTACCAAGAAACCATGACCATTTCCAATCGCTAACCCCACCTTCCTTTGAAGAGGAAAGGCGTGCTCTAAAGTTTAGCTCTCTTTCTCTCTCACGGACATGGCCGGATGGGTTTTGGCGTGCATGCAACGTCCATGCAAGCATCCAAGAATTCAGTATGTGTACTTTCCTCTGATTGATGCAGATCGGCAACTTCTGGCTAGGGATCGGAATAGATTGTGCAGCTGGTTCATGTCTACAGAGAGGTGAGACTGCTTGGCAAACTATGATCAGCGATTACCTACAGGCTACAGGCCTCTTCTTCTCCATCAATTCCCTGTAGGTTAATGCCCTAGCTAACTAGCTGTTTCTGTTATTCTCGCTTGTACCCAAAGAAAAAGAAGTGTTGTCGTGAGCATATATATTGTCATGGGGTAAATACCAGACAGCAATATTTTAAGAAGCGTATCCAATTTGTGATTAGATCTAATCTCAGACCAGACCGTAGGCTGTTAATTAGATAAGTTCACCCTTGTCCTTAGCTCGGGTCAAAATGGCACGCGCAATGCTAGGCAAAAAACAAAAACCTCACCAGGACTCAGCCAGCTGCTAAGAATGACAGCAGGAACAGCGAGGTTTAACCTCTTCATCTTCCTCGAAAAAGGGTTGCTGTTTTACCTTTGTAATGAATTTTATGATAGAGCAGATGGACTGATATTAATTTTATCGGTTAATTTGTAGACTTCATGATGACGATAGGACGAGAGATCAACTTACGTAGGCAATTATCCTTAGTCCTGCTCCCAGAATTCTTAAATCCTCGATTATTTTTTGCAAATACAATTTCATGTGTTTCCCATAAGACCACAATCAACTTCCGAGAATTAGCTGGGATTTAGTCTATGACAACGAGATGAAACATTACAGCGAAGAGGATTATCGATGGGATATATTATGAGCGATTTATATAGGATATTTATTTATTTTGAGCTATACTTTCCATATAGATATATAAGAAAAGATGGAACGCCAAAAAACCTGAAAAGATCTATAAAAGATTCAAAGCAAATACGGTTCTCCTTCGGATTTGAAGTCTCAAAATTGGATTCTAAATTCCTCATATCGAGATTCGCAAGAAATAGTTAATCAGAAAAAACAGCGGGCGACGCTTGTATACAATTTGAAAATCGAGGCCCAAAAGTTGACAACCAGAACCTTAAATTACAGAAAAGCATGGCAATCTAGAATAGACGCGTATTCGTGGTCAGCTCGAGAGTCAATGAGCAGCCCTTGCGGCCGGTCCATCAGCCGTACATATATGCTTACTAGTTAGCCCATATTTTAGCACAACAACCCAAAAAACAAAAAAAGTTAAGCCAATATTTTTAGTTCCTACACACAAAAAGTTGGCAGTTGAGAGCAAATCATAAAAATAAGAGAACTTTATTTACTAACGGTCAAGAAGGGTTGGACTAGTAACCTAGCCAAGAGATGAACCTGTACCACGTGCATCCTTACTGCCACGTGAGGCCAGACCAGTAGACTATATATCAAGTAAAATTTCAAAATACTATTAGTATTTCTTTTCATTCACAGACAATGGTTCCATAAACATTACATCTTTAGAAGCATCATATAGAATAAAAAAAAATCGAAAGTTCCAAACTCCTTATTTTGGAATCTTTCGATCCAGTGGAGGAGGAGGAATCCTGCACCACCCCTCAAAATCACTTGGACACCTTCTGGAGGATAGTTTCACGCTATCTTTGGAGAGGAAGAGAAGAGATATCAGATAAGGTCCCAGTACCAGCATCCAACATCGAATAATGAATGAGTGCAGAAAAAGAAAGAAGCAGCAGACGTTTAAATACATTCGTACACATCACGTATTCTGCAATCTTCATTTCCATATTAGAAAAGGAACGACAATTTAGTTGCCCAGGCTGAAAGGAGGACCCCATTGGCATCTGATGAGAGAGCGATTCGAACCTGGAAATGGTCGACAACTACTAGCATGATATAATCTGACCTAATTCGAGCATGAACAATCAATCAACAAAAGAAAGCTGCAGTCGCATTAGTAGATCAAAGTAACCAGCAGCTGTCAGTTTGAGGGTCGATGCAGCAGAAAAGGTAGAGTGAAACTACCTTCAAAAAACGCAATAGCTAGCAACTGCTGAGGCTTGTAGTTCAGGTGAGGAGAGTTTTATCCGGCCCTAAAATCATTTCCACGACAAGCTCATTCTTCTCGAGCAACAATGCCCTCATTCGTCACATGTTTTGCTGCATCGATGTCAACTTTGTTTGGAGTATACCAGAAACGTTGAGACTGTCCAAAAAAATGATGCTTAATCTAAACTTAAGTACAAACCAACAACACCGTAGTTAAAATATGAAAATCTTATTCATTAACATCAACTTGTAAGTGTACTTAACAAAACGGAGCTTCACAAAACAAGGCACATTCCTTTTGTTATAGAACATCCAGCTACCCTTTCTTTACAGGACATTATTCTGACATAAAAGATTATAATTAATGAAAACAAAATTAGCATTTCAAAACAATTGAACTAACATCTCAATGAGTCACCAGGAATATCAACCCTTCTATGAAATCCCTAAGTCACAAGGATGAAGGCTGCTCTTGTGTACCACTTGTTAGGTTCATAAAGTTACTAGAGTATTCAGCAAACAGAAGCCTTGATATTTGAACCTCGAACCAAGACCACCACTAGCATTGCTAACTCTGCAATACAAAAGCACACAATAGTTAAGCTCAAGAACTTGACGAAATCAATCAAAACACAGAAGCAAAATCAAATAATCATTCGCTAAATGTAGCAAAATCAAAATTCCCTGTTTGATAGCTGATAAAAAAGGGGAAAAGCCAGGGGAAAAAAAATGAACTTCACCTATAACAATGAAGAGAAAAGTACACCCAACTGAGCTTTTGAGAAACTAAACAGCGGATTCAATGCAAATTTCATCTCCTAAAACTAATAAACACAAAAAATACATAAATTTAAAAGCTTCAAAATGCCCTGTTTGGTAGTTGACCGGAAAAACGGCAGACAGAAAGAACAAAACTTTTAAATTTCACTCTTGCAGAGCTAAGAAAACTAAATCCACTAACCAATTGAACCTCATACAACAACTTGACTGATTTAACACCAACCTCGTCTTCAATAAAAAAAAAGAAAAGAAATTTATATAAAATTTAAATCTTTAATTGTTGCCTTCGTCATCCTACATTCTCTCATCAAACAATCAACCACTGGAACTGCTAACTAAGCACAACGACTGTACCTTTCCGCCCTCCGGCAACTCCGGCACCTTATATGTATCAACAGTAACCTCCATTAGCCATAAACCAGGAAACAAAGCCTGCGGCCAAAATAAAAATGAAAAAAAAAAACACCTAATTAGTAATCCCTCGAACAAAAATCACTACTTTACACAACGAATACTCTGAATTAACTTACATCCATCTGCTTCTGCACAATCCTGGGCCGTTTCTTGGGTCTACGAGCAGGTCTCTGGCCCAATATCGCCATGAAATCCTCCTCGATCTCCTTCTTCGATAACGGCACCGAAAACTTCACTCTCTCCTTCTCTTTCTCCTCTTTATCTCTCTTATCTCCTCTTAATCTCGGCGATTTAGTACTGTCGCTTCTTAAAGGCGAACAATTATTACTAGTCGCTTTCCCTAGAATTGAATTCCCACCTCCACCAATCGCGGCTCTCCTCGTCCTCAGATTCCACGGCCTCACCTCCTGCTCCGCCCGTGTTTCCTCAACCGCCGCAACCACAGACCGTTGCGGAGACTGAGACTGAGATTGAAGAGATTGCTCCTCTTCGATTTCACTGTCATCATCCGACACTTCTTTCCTTAAAATCTTGTCTTTCATCTTATTCGCCGCCGTTTTCAGATCAAGCATGATCTTCTCCCTCACCGCATCAATCCCTTCCTCCACTCCTCCGAATCTCTCCCTCGGCGCCTTGAACCGCCGGGTATCATAATTGCCTAATTTCGTCGGTGGAGATCGGTTGCTGCTGCGCTGTCGCTCAAATGAGAATCTCCCTCCGTTGTTCTCGTTCTTGTTGTCCCGCACCGCGGCGGCGGCCGTAGTGGAGTCGGGAATTTTCATGCAGCGGAGTTGCCTTTGATTCCCCCACTTCAAGAAAGGAAGATCAAAATTATGAAGCGGCGGTTTTGATCTCTCTTGTCCCATCGCCATTGCGCTCTCTTCTCTTTCAAGAGAATACACCATTGATCGAAAAACCTCTCTCCCACGAGCTCCGATCACTAGCTCTCTCTCTCTATTTGTTTCTCAGGAATCTTGAATTTTCTCGGAAAAAATGAGAGTTTGGAATCGCCGGGAAGAGGGAGTTTATATAAGAAGTGGAGGGTATAGAGAATTAGAGAGAGTGGAGAGGGCGGTTTTAACGTTCGGGATGTGGGGATTTTTGAGGTGTTTGAGGGTGTTTTTGTACTTTTCTATAAATATTGGCGCTGCTAAAATGCGCTAAGGGTGTGAGAGGGCGAAGATGTGGGTTTTCCCGGGTAATACGTCGTTTTTGAGTGGTGATGGTTTCTGTAGCCACCGTTGGATGATTAGTAATCTTATTAGTAGCCGTCGATTAAAAATATTTATATTTGCTACTTTTTTTGAAAAAAAACAGTCAAGGGAAAATATAAAATGTAATTAGGAAACATTTATTTTGGCCTATCGCTAGAAGAATTAACGAAAGATAAAAATAAAATAAAAGGAAAATGTATGAATTTAAATCTTGGAATTTGAAAGAGATTGGCCATAAAAAACAGTTTGGTGCAAAATCTTGGAATTTTGTATTTCCTGAGTTAAATTAATTTTGACCTTTTTTCTTTGCATAATTTTGCCATTTATATGATTTTGTTTGAAGCTTTGGAGGATATACTGCGGTGTGATTTATGTAAGAGACAGAAATCATTTGTTTGAGAGTTCTTTCATCCCAAGAAGAGCAACAATTAACGCTGATTTCCACGGAAAAAATTTGGTTATTACTTGAGTGCATGTGTTTTTCATTTTCAAAAAGAACACCGCTTGGTCGCAGAGGAAGTAGCATGATGCGTCATTAATGCTTATCTCAACAGATGCTGTTTTTGTTTTTTTTTTTTCTTTTTTCTTTTTTAGTTTTCTTCAAAATTTGGTTAAAAAAGAGTTATTGTGTACTTTTTAGATGTCTTTTTAAAAAATAGTTTCCGAAAGAGTATTTACAAGACTAGTGGCGATAATAGAATTATGATAGTGATGTCAGTGACAATAATAATGTGGTGATGATAGCTGTTTATTCCATAATATTGCAATCAAATACAACTGAACAGACTTCACCATCTCTCTCTCTCTCTCTCTCTCTGGAGATCATAGTACTTGCAGGTATGTATTTTGCGTTTCTCTCTTAGACCCTTAGGCTTAGGTCATGTCCGGAAAAAAATATAAAAAAGAGAAAAAGAAAAAAGAAAAATACGAATAAATTCTCTTAACAAAACATTGCATGCAATTTTTTTTTCCTATGCGTACATACATCCATTATGAAAATCCAATTTTTTTATAAAAAAAAATCATAGGAAAGAAATCTTCCAATTACATTTAAACTTTCAATTTTCGGGTCTTATTGAAATCCAATTATAAATGAGTAGTGACATAAAGAAAAAGGAATAATTTTAATTTTTTTATTATGTGATTTGTAAACTTGGCAATCAAATCTTTTCGGGTTTGAGTTGTAAGATGAGTATACACTTGACTCGTGTTGATTATATTTTTCATATATGAATTATATTTTTTCTACTTGAGTGTGTTAGTTTTAATTTTTACTATTTGAGTATATCAAGTTGGAATTATTTTTTTCATTATTTGAGTGGTTTTTTTTAGCTTTCGTTGACTTTGTGTTGATGTGGCTATTAACCGGATACGTAGCACCGTAGCACCAAATAACGGACTCCGTTGTTAGACACATGAAAAAATAATTATTACACATTTGGTGCATAAATTTATCAATTTTTTTTATTTGAGTGTATGAACTTTTATGTTGCTATTTGAGTGTACCAATTTGTAATTTTTTTCTATTTGAGTGGCTTCATTAACTTTAGGTTAACATGTACGTTAACCGCACACGTGATATCGTCGTGTTAACCTTATTATCGGACACATGACAAATAAAAACTTCACACTACTAGACCTAAATTAAAAAAAAAATTAAAAAAATATTCAACAAATGCTTTTTATAAAAAAAATTACTACTAAAAAAACAAATATATAAAATTAAATAAAAAATTTCTCCAATCAATCCATCTTTATCCAATTTCAAATTCAGGTCACCCTTTGCTTTAAATTAAAACTTGACTTCGTCTCATCATCTTCCAAATGACCACCGTTGGCTCTAAGGCTAGTGGCCAATATTCAAAATTTGGTTTAATCGTATAAAATATCTCTCTACTATTGACATTTTCTTAATATGGCCCTTTTACTTTTTTGTTTTCTTATTCATCACCTTTATGTACTCTTCAATTTTTCTTAATGTGGGCCCCATCACTGAAATTTGACGATTCTTCTGATTGGTGATGACGGATAGCAAAAAATTTACCACATAGCGTGACACGTCAAATTAAAAGTTACAATAAAATATTTTCATGCAAAATCTGAAAAAAAAATATTTTTTTCTCTCTCTCGCCCTTTCTCTCCTTTATCTTTCTCCCTCTATGCTCTGCTTCGATTGACCAAATCTCCCCGAGTTATTCTAATCCTAGTATTAGGTTTGCCCTCCATGGCTAGATAATAAAAGCCGGTTTCTCCAGACTATGTTTTCATCCATGTGGCAATTTTATCTAAAGCTTGTCTCCGGAAGTCAATTGTAACACCTATACGCCTTCGGCCGGGTTGGAAACTAATCTTTTCTCGTTAGCTTTAATGTTCTTTCCATTTTGCTCTTGTTTGTGAGCTTACGATTGCCTAGTGTTTCTTGGTGAGTGTTTTTTCCTCTGCTTTGTTCTCTCGATTTTAAATTTATTTAGTTTAAGGTTCTTCAACATGGCTCTTGGTAGAAAATCAATTTTTGAAGGCTTAAATCACAACAAAGCTCGAGCAATGGAATCTCGTGGCTTTTTAAAAAGCCTTTGGATTTAGCACTTTAGATCCGTAAGCAAACCGAAGGTGTCGTATCTCCCGCGCTTTAAAAATGTGCTACCAAAAGTAGAGTAATCAATTTAAATGGGAAGAAGGCAATGCTCTACTATCCAGTAACTAGTTCAAAACATTCTCATTTAGACAAATCTTTTTCATGTCATCGTGATTTGGTTGACAACAACACGAGTGCTCTTAATTGTATTTGTTGTTTTTCCTTGAAGATTCTTTTTTCTATTCCGCATTGCTATGTTTTTTCTTTTTTTCTAGCTCTATAATTGTTGCAACACTAAAAGATTGGAGAAGCAACTAATTCACTTGCAAAAACACTCGTAAGTTAAAGTAAAAAATGTACCTAGAATCTTCAAAACCCGAAGAGGGCTCAAATCACACTGATGATTGATATCTAATCCGAGTAATTTTTTTAGATTAAGAGTGTTCACAACCACATAATACAATTAATAACCAAACAAAAAGACAAGCCATAACTTGCCCACTATCCGTCTATTCATCTTCCTATGCTTTTTTTTATCGGGTAAATGTGATGGATCATCTCTAGAAAGCATTACTAAAAAAGAAATAATGGAACTTTTAAAGAGCATAATGTTTCAAACAGAGTAACTATAGTGCAACCACCCTTTGTGGAAAAAGTTCCTCGTGATGCCAAGCACAAAATTCCCAAGAAAATATCTAAAATGAATAAAAGTAAGGGATTTATAAAAAGCAAGAGTGAATTAAGAAGGATTAGGGATTTGAGAATTTTTTGAAAAAATAACGAGTAATGGTTTTGTACATTACAAGGTAGAGAGAGAGAGAGAGAGATGGAGATAGAGGAGAAAGAGAAGGAAGAAGGAAGAGAAAAAATAAAAACATTTTTTTATTTTTTTCATGTGGTAAAAAATATGACATGTCATACCACGTGAATTATTTTATCCCATCTATCATCATCAATCGAAAGAATCATCGAATTTCAGTAAGTGTGGCCACATTAAGAAAATTGGAAGAGTATATGAAAGTAATGATTAAGAAAAAAAATAGGGGAGCTACATTAAGAAAATGTCAACGGTAGAGGGACGTTTTATGTGATTAAACCTTTTAAAAATTTCACCTTTTTATCTTTCAAAAAGAACTCCACACCACTCGATCACATAACACAATTTGTAAGTAAACTCGGTAGTTATACATCACCAATAACAATTACCAAAGCCATCTAATAGTTAACCCACGTTCACCACCATCGGAAAAACCTATTGTCGTTGTTAACATCAAAACCCACTATCATATATTAGAATTGACAACTACTACCATATCATTTAAAAAAATCAAAACAAATGGATGAAGTATAATTTTTTATGTTAGAGGATTACGAAGAAGAAGATAGAATCAAGTTAGCAGTTTCCAACGAACCACTATTGCTTTAGCCATGGTTGACTTCTAACCATCATCATGAATGAGTTCTACTCGTCCCAAAACTCCTAGCCATCAATCCATTTGATTTCAAAATATAAATTGGCCGGATCTTCATCGTACAAGGAACATAATATTTAATTTGATATTTGGATAAACTTTAAAGATAAAAATGTTGTTATGGAATATGGTGTCTAAGATTTAACTTTTCTATTAAGAATAAAAATATATCATTGCTTTGGTGAATGCGCTACTCAAGACTTTTTTTTTAATTTTTAATATTTTTTCTTATAGTTGGTTATTTTTAAGTAATTTATTAGTGTTTTTGTTATTATCTAAGAATGAAATGGATCATTATTTTTTAATTTTTTTCTAGTCACCACATGTAATGATCGAGACCATTAAAACATAGCATACGCATGCTTGTGTGTGTGTTTAGAATTAATTTGCTTGATGATTGATGCTTAAATTTTTGCTAATGCTTGTGATTGCTTGTCAAAAAGCCAACTGCATCAAGACACGCTAGATTTGTTGTCAAAAATAGCAGTTGTCTCGACGCATCCGTTTTGCCGCCAAAACTACAGCGTCAAGATAAGCTTATTTTGTCGACGAAACTTCTACGTTCGGACTTGTCGCTTTCATTGACGAGTTTAAGCCCAACTATGCATGATGAGATATTAGTCCATTTATTTTGAAAAATCACT